TGTTCTATTTTTTTTTTCAATGGTTAGGTTAGGATTAGGTTGTCGAATCCATAGGTTAGGTTAGGATTAGGTTGTGAAATCTTTTATAGGTTAGGTTATAGGTTGCCAAATATTGGCAACCTGCAGGGCTCAGACCCAAACGGTTCTTTTGTATATCTTTAATGACTGGACCCACCTGTCTAGACATTCTGACTAGCTCAATTTGTAGGGAATTTCAAGCGCTATCCAACGGTATATTTTTAAAATGTATATAAGCTTTCACTTCTGTCTTTTCTTGTTGTAGTGGTAGTCGTAACTGTCGTCGGTGTTTTAGGGACAAAGCCGCTAACTGTTGCTTTCGATTGTTCAGATGTCGGTGTTGAGATATCACCATCAATTTCAATCGGCGGAATTTCGTTACCGTCTCCGATGCCTTCATTTATTTCAGTTATCCCACCTCCAGTAAATGGCACTGCTTTCAACAGTTTTGAACGTCGACGTATGACGCAAGTACAGAGCAAGAGAAGCAGAGTCTTATTGACGAAAACGTTGCTCAGAACTCGTTTCTTGCGGTTAGTGTTGTCTGCATTTTATTGAACAAGTCATTAACGATTTTCTTCTGTTGTGGACTGAATTGAACTTCAAAAACTAGTGCGGTTTTTTATACCAGGCTGGATGTCTCTCTTACTTGCAATCGTATTCCAACTGTACACCCTAACACCATCCGAACCAGTTCTTTCCCAGCTTTAGCTAAATCCTTATATAGACCGAAATCACGATGTGAAATCTCTCAATACAGACGAATGGAAAAAGCATCGATCCTCGTCTACAGAAATGAATTACGAACTGAATTGAATGTTCTAGCTACCGTGTTCGAAGCATTTGAAAAGGATGTTAAGCCGTTGGTATGTATTGCTCAAGACGAATTGAAAATTAACATCGACAATCCCGATGTTCACAAGCACCTGCTAGAATTACCAGATAATACAATAAAATGTCTACCTGAATACTTAACGCTAGTTCCGGGCATGAATGTTCTACTGACGCAAAACATGGCTACAGAATTGAAGTTACCTAGTGGTACAACGGCAATATTTCGCGAATTAGCCTATGTGCAAGCAGATAACAATCTCAGCAACGTCGATACGACAAAGTTTCCAACTCCATCTTCATCCAAGAGCCCTTGTATGCACTAGTAGAAATAGAGAATTCAAGAACAAACAAAGCGAATGATACACTTTCTCCGAAACTCATACCAATTCCTCTTGTGACACAAGAATTCATTGTGAATATTAAAGGTTTGTGGAAATAAAATACAAATGATGCACACAGCCAGAATAGATCCCACTAATTGTGCTACAATATATAATAAGAATGTTCGTATTGAATGTTTTCCAATCATAACTGTGACAAATGATATTGAAACAGAAAAATAACCGCCGCTTATATTACCAAATAAATAGATAAACGCAGCTACTAATAAACCTCCACTATAACATACAATTAATAACGAAGAATTACCAATATTCTTTTCCAAAATTTTTCAAAATAGGCTTAAGCAGGTTTTCTGTAACACCGTGGTTTTTCACTTCATGAACTTGAATAAATCAGTTAATTCTCTTGTAAAAACTACAACAGTTAAAAAATATCTTTAAACGGCCATTGTCTTTAGAATTTTTTAGACCGCAAAAAAACATTCAGATCTCCGACTCGTATTTTGACTTTTGAATTAAAATTATAAATTTTAAATTTCATCTTTTCTTAATTCATCAATAGACAGACCTAGGAACATGCTAAAATCTATACCAGTCGATAGCGCTTAAAAATTGAACAAACGCAGGCGGTTGCCAAAGTTTCATCAATATTCTGAAGATCTCTAGGAGAACTGGAGAAAATCTTCCAATACCGCAGGTTTGATGGAACTTTGTTGAGGACGCCAAAAGATACCCCATTCAATTCTGAGTTGAATGACGTGTTCGACAGCTCCCCATGATATTTCCTTCCTGAGATAGGCGACTTTCATGAGAAGTCTGTCCAAAACAGCTGCCTCAAGTTAACCTGCTGCAAGACATTTAGTAAAAGCCGGCTAGCTCATCCAAAGTTCCATCAAACTGCGGTATTTGAACGTTTTCTCTAGTTCTCCCAGAGATCTTCAGAGTACTGATGAAACTTTGGCAACCGTCTACGTTTGTTCAACTTTTTGTTTCAAACTCTCCCAATATCTTCGCTTTCTTTCAGCAACACTCAAAGGCATAAATACTCGCGAAAGATAATATCCAGATTAGTTATCTGAACTATAAATCATAGCAGAAGTAGGGAACGACGGGAGAACGGGGCCCTCTTTTATATTCTTCTTGAGTAGAGAGAGAAAAATTGTCTTTATATTTTTTGTATAAGCGTTTTTTCTTTCTGTACAAAAAGCGCAAATTTTGTGTAAACCATGGCTGATAGTTCTAAAACAAGCGGACTATTTTTGAAGAAATACATCTCTCAGTTGCTTGTAATATGCATGACTCCAAAATATTAACTTTCTCGTTACCGGTTGAATTAAAAAATACAACGGCAGTTGTGTTTAGTAACTGAACGAGTTTATAGCGAAAAAAGTTTCAGTCCGTGGCTAAATAGTTATAAATTTGTGAAGGAAGACTCTAGAAACGTAATGACACATTATCCATTAAAACGTTATGCAAAGAAGCGGAGCTTAAAATGATTACTAGTACTAGAAGAAAAATTTGTTTGTACTATGTCCAACAAGATAAACTCGATCAACATGCTAATAATATTAAGTTTACCAAGGTGATATTAAGTGCAAATTATCAGAAAAAAAAAATGGTCTGCGAAAAATAAATGTTGTTTAGTCCCCCAAAACTCCCAACGTCGTCAACGGTGCACACAAAATTACGAATAAAGAAAACTACAGAACAAAACAATGTTCTATGGTGAAGTGATTTCTCCATGTATAACGATGACGAAATTTTCTTTGATGAGTTGGAACAGGGTTTATTTCCAAACAAACATCCGTCCATTTTATTGTGTCCATTTTTTGATGAACATAACCAGTGAAAAATCCAGCAGCTGTACTACCTAACCAAGTTCCAATCCAGTATAAATATTGCTTTGTCCAAATATTAGCAAATAAAGCGGGACCAAATAAACGTGCTAAATTAATGCAGCCTCCGCCAGTTGTTGAACCAATAAATATTAAGGTAGAAACTAGAAATCCTGTAACAAGGGGTCCTAAACTGGCATGCCAGTTACTGATGGTCAAAAATGCGTAACAAGCAACAAAACTTAAAAATAATTCCATAGCTATAACTCTGCTTGCACCAATGCCATGATTAGGAATTATTAGCAACGATGTATAATAACCATTACTTTGTGGATGTGGAAATAAAATACAAATGATGCACACAGCCAGAATAGATCCCACTAATTGTGCTACAATATATAATAAGAATGTTCGTATTGAATGTTTTCCAATCATAACTGTGACAAATGATACTGAAACAGAAAAATAACCGCCGCTTATATTACCAAATAAATAGATAAACGCAGCTACTAATAAACCTCCACTATAACATACAATTAATAACGAAGAATTACCATCTATATTCAATCTTTTACATGTAATTATAATACTAAAGTATAAAGTAAAATAAATAGTTGTACAAACGAGTTCAGCAGCTGCAGTACGGTAGTGAAAAGTTGTATAATCATGATTTATTAATCTTCCACTAATTGCACTTTCATTTGTATTATCATTAATATTGATATGATGGGAATCGAATAGGACAGCTTCGTTTGTTAATGTTGCTAATCCTGAAGTTGTTAACGACAGTGCCGGTTCCAAATTCTAAAATAGCTAGTTTTCAGGTCAAGAATGAAATTCTGCAAATATCGGACAGACATGATATGGTCAAATCAAAGATCAGGCTAATTTATGCACGCATTTATCAATCAATCTTCAGTCTATCGCAACTTATAGCGTACAGAGGTTTAACTCCGACAACAACTTGATATTTCACTCATTACTCCGTTCCCTTCGTTGTTCCCTACTCCTATACATAGTTCTCGAAAAAACCTACAGTATGGTTCAGCCCTGTTCTTTTTATTACATATAATACCCTTATTCTTGTACACTGTTATTATTTCGGTCTTCTTGTTCTCCTTCTTTATCCTTTTTTTCTGCTGTCTGTTCGAACAGAGAACTGTAGACGTTTACGGAAACCTTTTTATTTTCTTTATACGAAGAAATTCTGCTTTATTTCTTCTATTCTGAAAACATATGATTGTTCTCTCTCTATTATCGCCATTGTTGTTGTTTTTCTTTTCTTTATTTGCTATTTTTCGTTTTCTTCCAGTCCGTTCGTTGGCTATTTTTCTCCGCATTCTTCCCTCTTCTTCTCGCTAACATGTTTCATAGAGTTACAGGGGTTTATACAGTATATGAGTCACGTGAGTGAAGATGATCATGAGTACATCGAGTAAAAAACCAGCTAGTGTTAGTGTAACAGACCCAATGGAAATACTTGCTCTGAATATGAGGAGTATAACGGCAAAATCCAACAAAGACCCGAAAAGTACTATGACGAAGTTTGATCTTCTATCTGCAGTGTGTAGCGAGTCGAAACCTTCTTTCATTGCTATAACAGAAACGTGGCCTGACTCAACAATTCCAAATGATGATATTGCTATAAATGGTTATAAATTAGAACGATTAAACAGAGACAGAGAGCACGGTGGAAGTTTACTCTATTACCAAGAACACTTGATAATAAGGCGTCTCTCGATTATGAAAGATAAAGGTTATGAAATTATGTTTTTTGAGGCCATCCTACCAGAAGTAGGAAGAGTCTTACTGTCTGTCTATTATCGCACCCCTAGTATGAATAATGAGCAGATTGACTCGTATATTCACTTTCTAAGTGAAACAATTTACAACATTTTACAATCAAACAGTTTTGATGCTATTCTTTTAGTAGAAGACTTTAATGCACACTGTGAGGAATGATGCGATACACATCCTTCCACAGTAGCCGGGAAATACTTTTTGACTTTTGTGAAGCGTTCAGCCTTAAGCAATTAGTACGTGAACCAACAAGAGTAAGCCATAATGGTCAATATCAGACAGCACTTGATCTCGTTTTTACCAGTTCTAAAAATATAATCCAGAGTGTAAAAGAAGACGATCGTTTATGCGTCAGTTGTGATCGTAAGATTGTAAGAATCCCAAAGAGCGAAAAAAAAAACACAGAACGTGCGTCGGTACTCCAACTTTGATCTTTGATGCTGAGCACGAATCTCATATTCGTCCATCCTGACAGACAATGAAACATTAGATTTGATATATGATATGATATTTTCATGTAAAAGTTTGAGTTCATCACTGTTTCTGCTTGATTTGAGCTTTGAGGCGTTCTTAGAAAAGAAACTAAATCCAGAATAAAATATTCTTCTATCCGTTATTCAGTGTTCGTATATGGAGCCGTCGGTTGCAATCAGATCACGAAAAATTTAAGATTGACTATTTTGCAATTTGTGCAGTCATTTCTCAACATGGAAGTTTTAGTTTTAACTTCCCAAGTACGGGAGACTCTTCTCTATCGATGTAAAAGTTTTTACGCTTTGCCTGCGCATTTGAGAGTAATTATGGTCAGAATGATGACTTTTTGTCCTTTCTAAATTAGATCACTTAATGTGTTTTTCATTCTTAAATAGATCACATCCATTCAGATAAACGACAATTTTCACACAAACTTGAGACTAAAGTAAATGCGCTTAATCCCAGGATTTCTCAAAAACCTTAGTTTTCTTGCTGGAGATGGCCGATTCGTGCAGAATTTGTAGAGATTTTATTGATTTTACATCGCTGTACAATTGTAAAATCTGTTTTGGGCCTCAACATTTAGACGGATGCTTCTGTCTTTGCCATACACACTATGTGATCTAATTTGGAAAGGACAGGAAAGGACAAAAAGTCATCATTCTGACCATAATTACTCTCAAATGCGCAGACAAAGTGTAAAAACTTTTACATAGATCGATAGAGAAGAATCTCCTGTACTTGGGAAGTTAAAACTAAAACTTCCATGTTGAGAAATGACTGCACAAATTGCAAAATAGTCAATCTTAAATTTTTCGTGATCTAATTGCAACCGACGGCTCTATATTCGAACATTGAATAACGGATAGAACAAAATTTCAGAAATGTCAGAATATCAGTATGCAGTGTATTCTCAAAAAGAGACCATTTGCTGGGCTTGGCGAAATTTACATATTTGCGTATTCTCGCGTAATGTCATTGAGAATACACCAAACCCAGCAAGTTTAAAAATCAGTAGTCGCTTTTGAGAATACACTGCGTATTGATATTCTGACACCCCTCGGATTGTAAGAGCAATCCTCTTGAACCATTCAACCATGTGCTTAGCTCAATACTGATCTTTTATAAAAACAACTGTATTTGTGAGAGGGGAGCATTAAGTTCTAGTACCCATTTGAAAATAGCAGGGCTATGAATGTATTGTATGTTGTTCAGACTTAAGGGTGGCACTTTTGCGTTCCGTTTTAGAGTAACGGTAAAGTGGTATCTTTTATTTCAAAAGTAAAGAGCAAAGCTATAATGCATATGCTTTCTTTCCTAAGAAATAGGAAAGTGGCACCTTTCATTTTCCAAGAAAATGACTTTTCGTAAAATGCAACGAAAAGTCTTTTTCTTGAGGAAAGAAAAGATATAGTCTAGGTTTTCTTTTTTTTTGGAAAAGAAAAGATGCCCACTTTCCTTTTTCTTAGGAAAGAAAATATATGCATTATAGGTTTACTCTTCTTTGTTGTACAGAAAAAGAAAAACTTTTCTTTTGTTAATAAAAAAAGAGGTAGGAAAGAGAAAGTCCAACACCCAGATTAAATGCCGGAGCTTCTTGCGATTAGTAGAAATGTATAACATCTTTCAATCGGAGGAAACAGTTTCTGAGTTACTTCCAAAAGCGCGATTTTAAGTGATTCTTAGAAAAGAGGTTAAATCTTCAGTAAAAGAATCAGAAAAAATGATTTCCTACCTGAGGGAACGATCCAGAGCGTGCCCTCCAAAATGTGAATTACACTATGTTACGCGAAGGTTTAGTGGTATTCAGAAGTACATGTTAAGCCTGTCAAACTGAATCCTGAAAATCTTGTATAATTTTCGCTTCGTTTCCAATGATCTATCGTTTTTTAACTTCTACTATAAAGAGTCATAGATCAGCATTTCCCGTATAATTCGTGAGGAAGCTCCCCAAGTGCCCGCTCTTTTTTTCTTGAAACATTCATGGACATCGTTTGTTCCTGAGTATGAATGAGTTCTATTTTGCGTTAGAGCTGGAACGTAGGACAGCGGCAAGGTAGGAAGTCAGGACGTTAGAAAATCAGGAATTCAAGACAGCAGGAAAGTAGGAAAGAACAAAAACAGGAAGTTTGGAACGTAGGAAAGCAGCCAACTAGGAAGTCACTAAAGCAGCGCGGCACGTAATTTTCTAATGGGCGACATCTGATAATCCATGATTGATGGAGTAGAGGAGAAAATTTAATTAAGATAGGCGTGATGTAGAATTTGCATTTGCCGCACACTGAAAAGCAGATAAAGGAATTGTATGATTCAGACGTCAGTGAAGCAATCAGCCAATCTGGAAATACTAAGACCACGTTTTTCCAAACCAAGCCTAACAGAAAGTAAGTGATTTTTAGTGTCAGTAGCATAATATTCTTCTCTATCAGATATTATAATGACGAGGAGTTTCAAGGAAAAGTAGAAAAGGACGAAAGCGCAAAAGCAGGATGTTAGGAAGAGCACGAAAATAGAAAAGCCGGAAGTTAGGAAAGCGGGAAACCAAGGAGTCAGAAGATTGAGAAAGTATGAAGTCAGGAAAGTGTGAAAGCTTAAAACTAGAAAGTAGGAAGTCAGCGAAGCAGGAAAGTATAAGCACTTTGCGAATTCCAATTGAAAGCGAATTTGATATTTATCAACTTTCGAAACGTTTGAAACAGCTCCAATATCCGACGCTAATTTGACTTCATGTTTAATGTGTGCTCGTTATAAGTAATAAATAGCCTGTACCAGTACATCAGCTCATGTAGTATGTAACTCTTATAAATCCTCTCCTCCTCGCGGCAGGTTATCGACGTTGACCTTAATGTCGAATGACTATTCACTCTCAGCCTACCACTCACACTGTTCTGACCCCTCCCATAGAAGTATATGTAGCTACCTATCATCTAGCTTCAGAAGCATTCCTGCTCTCCTATAGGTTAGAGAGCTGAAGGTCGTATCGGTGCAGCTCGATTCTCTTGAACAGCAGAAACCTGTTGAAGTTTACTGAAAAGGAGTAAATAAGACCGATCAACAGATTCCTTTTTCCATGAGTACGCCAAAATCAGATCATTTGTAACATGACTCACCAATATTTTCTGGTGCGTAGGGCATGCACTTTACCATCGCTGTTTGAAAATAATAGATGTGAGGTTGCCACAAGATACGTGGATCTAACTTAAATGTGGCAACGCCCATATCTATTACTTTAGGAAAAGAGTAGCGTTACTCGTACACATCAACTAGACGCCCGTATCTGATAATCTTTTGAAAGAAAGCTGAGGAGTTCTCGAATGTGTACTGTTTTTCAGCAAACACTGACTCAAATGCTAAAAATTTGTCTTCAGACATGCTTTACCAACCTCATGTACCATTTCTATTACGTTATTTTAATAAAATAATTGTTGATGGGTTGATTAAAGTTATATGGTCTTATCCAGAGCAGTAATGATTGACTATATTATTGCTATCTAAAGAAACAAATTTTTACAAGAGAAGAATAAGTATCAACCGTCGAATCGAGAACTGCTAGTTCAACAAAGTATACAGTTTAAGATGTAGTAGATAATAAATAGAACACTGTAGTTGCTTTTCTTTTGCTTCTGTCTTCGTTCTTCTTTATAGGTGTAAAGTATGAGTTATCGTCTATCTACAGTTAAATTGCATCAAAAAAGAAAAAGCTTTGACACTCTTGTTTCTTTTCAAGTATTCCTCATAATTTTCATTGTTTGGTATCTCGCTTTATTTTTCATCAAGACGTCACATAAAACAAATGTGACAGAAAGGAATGAAAATCTACTTTTACCGCCTTTTAATCGTCAGACTTTTAATATCTACAGCAAAACTGTGACATTCTCACTGCCTCTCTTAGTAAGCAGCATGAAAATTTAGAGACTCTCAATATTGAGTTAATTAGCCGTCAGCATGTAACGGTAACTTGACACTTTTAGTCATGCATGGTCATTTAGTATTGTTGAAATTAAATAATACTCTCAGAAATAGTGACAAATACTTGTCACATTTCTCTTGAGAGTGAAAGAAAGTGGAACATCTACAAAATGAGCAATCCTTCAAATCGTTATGAGTGTAGGTGATAAATACAAAAACACATTTTTCAGTTCAACAACATGTTGTCAAAAACAATACTAAATGACCATGCATGACTAAAAGTGTCCAGTTACCGTTATATGCTGACGGCTAATTAACTCAATATTGTAGGTCTCTAAATTTTCATGCTGCTTACTAAACATCTTAGATATCATGTGCCGCTAATCTAGTGACTTTTTCAAGCTCACCTCCATACCATTTACTATCATACACAATGCTACCATAGTCCAGTTTACTTAGAATACCTGACTTAAAATTTGCTAACCGAATCATCACTGGCTCCAATATGCCCTCCGCATGTTAGATCTGAGCTTAGCCGTACTCCAAGAAGCACTACTGACGTTTCACGCTAAATCACAGTTTCATTGATAGTAAAACTAAAATTATGTGCTACTAACTGCTCGCGGTTTGTAAAGTATATCCACATACACTTTGAGTAGTTTAGTGTCATGAGATTTAATTGGCAACATCCCTCCATTTTGCCTATAAAAGACTGGCAGTCCGCTGGAGAGCACAGAACGCTCATCGGGCATAACAACGAGTAGTCGTCAGCAAAAAGAATGGATAAAACTGGCAACGCTGTCACCACCGGAGATGGTTTATAAAGATCAGAAACAGTAGCGGCCCCAAAATAGAGCCGTGTGGGACTCCAGATGGAACCCCTACTGTTTCGGAAAGCGATCCGCCTATCCGGACTCTTTGCTTTCGATCTGACAGATAACTCTCAAACCATTTATATGATGCCCTTTCACATCCAAAGAAGAAAGCTTCGTAAGCAAGATTTGGTGAGGAACACGATCGAAAGCTTTCTCAAAATCAAATAAGACCATGATGAAATCAGTTCCATTTTCTAGATTTTTATAAACGTTATGAATTCAAAAGCGAAGAGTATCTGTTGTGGAACAATTTTTGCGGAAACCGAATCGAAAGTTTGAAAACAAGTGATGTTTATTTAGGTATGCTATCAGCTGATCGTGAATATAACGTTCCAGCAGTTTATCAAGGATAGAAAGTAATGATACTGGCCGGTATTTATCAATTAACGTCTTTGGGCCTTTCTTATGGATTGGAATAACATCAGCTAAGTCTCATCCTCGTCACATCATCAACAACATTCCATTGAGTTTAGCGAACAGAATAATACGTATATCGTCTCTTGATACATCTAAATGGAATGAATTTTATAATTTATTCATTCGTTTAAATACCCGTGGTCATTATCCTACCAACGTCCTGCAAAAAATCGACCGACAGATTCTACAACAGTACAGAATTAATTCATCAAAACAAAAAATTGAATGAACAAGAATATTTCAACAATATCATCGTACCTTTTCATGCTCAACTTTCTTCGCTCTGTCATATTCTTCCAAATGAAATTAAAATGACTTATCACAAAATCATCGTATCGTCTATACATGTGGAGGAAATTTATCACGTATTTTAACCCGTTCGAAATATCTACCCTCATTTATAGACGTAGTTCCACCACCAGACATTCAACCACAAGGATGTTATTCGTGTAAGTCGAATAGATGTACAACTTGTCACTACTTAATTGAAGATAATTGGTTCATTGTATCCTCCACAAACCAAATTTTCAACATCGCATTCAACACATGTTGTACAAGCTCAAATTTATGCTATCTAATCACCTGCACATTATGCCATGCATAATATGTTGAATCTACAGGTAGTAATTTGAGCAAAGGTTTAATCATCATCTAACATTTGTTCGTCACCTTCCCGTAGATGATACAAACTGAGTCAAACATTTTACTGTACAGTATCCTACACTAAAAATATTAAAATCATTATTATTGAAACTAACTACATCAATCAACGTCATCGACTGGATCAAGAAAAATATTGGATTAACACATTAAAATCATTCATTAATGAAGATAATCGAACTCTTCTTAAACTACTTTAGTTCCTCTTGCTCGCTTGCTCATTCTCAGTATGATCTTTTCATGTAGGGTTGGGCGGGCAGGCATCAGGGTTCGAGAGAGAGGATCTTTGAATTCTAAAATCTTTAATCAATGGCTCTATTGCATCAAATTTTGATCTATAATAGGCTTTTCCCCTTTCTTCTTGTCTTACTCAAAAAGAAGAACGTCAAATATAAACTATATAAGCAAGTACATTTCTTGTATTACATCCATCATACATTCATTTATCTCATTCAAATTTTAGACTATCTTGCTCTCGGTCAACAGGAAGAAATAATAACAAAGTCAAATTTAAACTATAGTCAAGTAATTTTCATTACCTTTCGTTTTACACAAAGGTCATCATTCTAACTTTCTTCCTTTTCTACATCTTGATATTATATAGAGAGGAAAGTAAGTTTATGTGTATATATTCACTTCTTTGTTATGCCACCCCATACATACCAGTGATTTATCACCTACATTTTACTTTTCATTGTCAATTTTAACTGTATAGGCACTGTTGCGTGCAACTTTGTATCTTTTTCTTGATTTTAACTGTCCGTTTTAGATGATTTCTTCTAATAAAAGGCATAAACACGTGTAAAAAATAAATCATCATAAAAACGAATCTAATTAAAACCAAAGGAATCGTATTGAAGCTTCACATCGTAATCATTTCCTCTCAAAGAGTTCGACTTAAGACAAATATCTCTTTCCAAGCTATTAAGGAAAGAGCGAGAGAAATAATTTTCTCATCTTTAATCGAATAAAAATCATCGAAACGAAGAAAACAGACTATATTTTTAATATACAATGTAGGTAATAGCAAAAAAGACGAGCTGTATGAGGAACCTAGATAGAAAATAAACATGGAAAAGGGCGAAAAAGATGTGGTTTATCGAATAATCATTAGTAGTTGTATGAAGGCTTCTATCCAGCTGCGCTTTGACTGCTTCTTTTCATTTGTAATTCGAGAATAAGTGAATGATTTGTTTGTTTTGAGCTTTTAAAAAATTGATGGTAGATTGATGTTTAAAATTTAAAGATTAATTTCTGTGTTGAACAAGGAATAAGCATTATTGAAATCATTTACTACCTTATGAAAATACTAAATTAGAGCCTAGAACGACAGTAAATAGGAGCGTAGCCAAAAATGAAAAAACGACAAGACAGAAAGCTTTCTTCTCTTATAAACTTTGATACAATTACAATTATAATATAAAAGTTTAGAGGATAAAAGAATAGATGCGCATTTTTTTTTTAAACTTGTTCTTGTTTAGTAAAAAATAGTTGTAGTTATTTAACTTCAACAAACAAACGCAGCTATGCTTGCAGACAAGTCTATATTGCATAGTGCACAAAACTCTCAACCAAGCAGAATTACGTTTTTTCTTGTTTTTATTTTACATGCTATTTGAGTACAACAGAATTAAAAAAAAATGGACTAATGGGTAAGTGCATGTCAGTATGCAATCATATGAGATTAGAAGAAGTAGGGAAGAAGGAATAGTGTGCGTTCCGGACTGGAGTGCAGAGAAATCAAGAAAAAATATGTTTATCAGTCATGCATAACAAACCGCTCTGTTTGAGCAACACAGTTAATGACACCTTTGAATACGATCTTAATTTCTTCAGGTAATAAAGAATTTTGCACAAGTAGAGTTTTCAAGTCAAGCTCAAATGAGGCAGATCCAGCTGAAATATCGAGATTAGAGCTAATCGCGCGGTGTCATATAAGGGACATTCAAAAAAATAATGAAAAAGGCTTTCGTCTGTTACATTATCGCACGAGCAAAAAGGATCCGAAACAAGACCACGAAGATGCAGGTCCCCCCCCTCAACTGTGAAAATCCAACTCGACACCGACAATAATCAATGTCAGCGTGTCTATTGCTTGTATACGGTAACTTTGGAATTTTTTTCAGCGATAATAAACTTTTCTTAAACTTTGGTATCCGAAATATCAGTCATGTTTCCACTGATAATTCATTATATTCTCTCGCTGTTCGATATATCATTGAGTTGTACAACATATTCAAACGACAATGCGGAGTTGGAAGTAGTATCTTCTCGCGACTTCGTAGT